TCTCCCTCTCACTTTCTCACTTTGTCCTTGGCTTACTTTAATTCCTGCAATCTGATTTCAAAGTGCAGAAATAGTTTGCATTCAATGAACACAGCATGCAGGAAGGGAGAAGAAAGGGGTGGACTCAGACTGGATCTACACTACCATACGGAACTACATGATATGGTCACTGCAGTGAAATAATGCATTATATGGCAGTGTAGATCCAGCCTCAGTTGGTCAAGGCAAAAACAAACCTCTGTAGCCTCTTCCAGCAATCTTGGCCACATATTGATGTTGCTTAGCCAATGCATTTCCCTATTTTAATCTGTGAAATGTTGGAACTTCTCCAGCAGTAGTTTCTTCAGTGGTCTGAAGATGCTCTAAAATTAGAAGCTTTTTAATGCTACTTGGAGCATGCTATTTTGGACTTGTAGTCCCAACAACTAAAACTTCCAAATGTTGTAGCATGAGCGAAGGTGTATGTCAATGGTTCCCAATCTTTTTTTGACCAGGGACCACTCTCCAACATTAGTACCAAACGTGTTACAAATTAGTTTTTGGTCAACTTCAGACCAAAAACTAAATATTGATTTGGGGTGCTGATTCAGAAAATTGCATTGGATAGACCACATCAGCTCTAGTTTCTGATACAGAACATAGGCCATCCAGTAGTAGCCATCTGCTCGTACATTGAAAATCATATTTAATAATCTAGAGCTGATGTGGCAGTATTAATCTTTTGTGGGTAGTCAGCCTCTTGACATCTCTGTTGCCTTGTGAAGAGTTTTGGGAGACCAGTTGCTCTTGTTGGCATGTGGTTTCAAGGCAACGGTGTAGTAATGGTGGGGCCGTGGACCATATTTTCATTCTTGCAGACTACTGGGGGTCCATGGACCACAGGTTGGGAACTACTGATGTATGTGAAGACCTCGCAAAATTGATCAGACATCTTCCATGCTAAAAACAAAGGGGAAAGTGGGAGAGAAAAGAGAAACTAGAACATTTGAAAAGCAGTAAAAAATAAGACAACAGATGATGAATCATGCTTCTCCCTGCCAAATTAAAACTCTTGACAGTTTGTGAAAAGTAGGGATGGGAAAGCCAGCTTCTATCTGACTGCATACACATATTGCAATATAGACCCAACCCATTAACTGCAAAATATCAATCTTATTGCTCACTCCAAGACTTAAGAAAAAAAGGAAAAAATTCTAAAGTAAATGGATTACTTTACATCACTTGATATGACTATTGCTATTCATTTGGCCTGCCGTCTACTCATTGCTCTGTGCATTATGAATGAATAGATTGATTAAGTGTGCTACCTTGGACTAAAGAAGAGGCCTTTCAGATAAACACAAAGTAATCAGCTCTATCTCCATAATATTTCCCAATGGCAATACAGCCATCCATCTTAAACATCTTGTACAAAAATCTTTCATTCCAATATTGCGAAACAGTATTGATGTTTCCATTAGCAAAGCTGTTCTATTCTAGTTGGTATTGATTTCTTTTTTTAAAAAAATAGATATATCTCATAAACCAATACATGGAAGGAAAAACATTATGAGCACATCTAAATGGCAATCAATCATAATTCCATTCCAAGCCTGGTCTGATTTTTATGTTGCTTTTGCATTGCAGGGGAAGGAGGGCAGAGACTGCTGGTACTATATGGTGAAGAAAATAGGTAGGGAGGGTTTTTTTTACACTGGGGATGGAAATTTGTTGAAATATGAAGCATTCAGATGAGGAGAAATGAAAACAGACTTTTGCATCCAAATTCAGGGCTTTGGTATTCAGCAAATTAAATGATAACTTAGAGTTGCCACCTTTAAAAAAGTAGTTTGTTGTTTCCAATCTTGTTAGAGTATGCAGATGCAACATAGGCCCATCCATACTGGAAACAATTCAATTTGACTTGTGCCAATGGGAGAAAATTAAATTTCAGTTTATTTTTTGACAAATTTACCAACATATTGTTTTCTTATTAATTCCTTTATCAACATTATATTTCCTTATACATACATTTATATTTTCTTAACTATATGTCTATGTTTATATTTAGACATTTTCTTATCTATTTCCATCTATATTAGAGCATTTTTAAATATTTGTATGTGTCTTGTTTTAAATTTTATTGGTTTGTGTCGTGTTATTGTTAGCTGCCTTCAGTCGCTTTGGGGAAAAAGGCAGGATAGAAATAAAGTAAATAAAATAAATAAATAAATAAATAAATAAATAAGAAAATAAAATAAGGAAATACATAATAAAGCAATTCCTTGAGGTTTGGGTCTAGGACCCCTGTCGATACTAAAATCTGTAGATGCTCATTCATAACCATGGATTCTGCATCCACAGATTCCATCATACCAAGGTTAAAAATATAAAACAATTTCAAAAGGGAACTTTGATTTTGCTATTTTACTCCACTATTGTATTCAAAAGGACTTGAACATCCACTAATTTTGTATCCATGAGCAGTCCTAGAATCAAACCACAGAGAATATCAAGGGCGCACTGGTTTATCCCCAGAAGATGACCTTAAGGCATCACATGCCAAAACAGATTGGGCTTTCTAACAAATAAAAAGCTGCCTTTTTAGCATCTTGTAATGTGTCTCCAAAAAACACAGTGCTGGAAGAGATCACAAAGGCCATCCAGTCCATCCCCCTGATCCAAATCAGTCACTTTCCTCATGTTTCCTACCCCAAACCTCAACCAGATGCTATTTTCTTCCTGAAATTGCTGTACAGTCACACAGTTTCTAAGAATAAATTTCACTGAACCCAGTTGGAGTCCCTGAGTCCCTCTAGGGAGAGAGGCCAGGTTAGAAATAAAGAAATAAATCTCTTTCCTCTCCAGTTGGAATTGCTTCTAAGCAGTCATTTATGATTGCAATGAAGCATTCAGGTAGCAATGCACCTGTCATTCTATATCTTGAATATAATGCATGTTGCAAAGTAATGTCTCATTATTTATGCATAAATAAAAATAATAATATACTTTATTCATATTCCATCCCATCTCCGTGAAGGGACTCAGGGCGGATTACAGTGCACATAGACAGCAAACATTAAATTCCATTATGCAATAAACAAAGACAGACAGTACATAAGCAGATGTAAAGGCTTCACATCTTGTTCCATCTCCGGCATCTGGAGGCTGTTCTCGACTCTGGCTATGGGGTGAGGAGGGGATGCTGTCATGCCATCTTCCATGCTGAGGAGCTTTGTATCGCTGCCATATCCACATGGGCGCATACATAGTACTTTTGGGATGAAATAAAAGCCAGTGCTGCTAATTTATTTTTAAAAAGTTTTGTATCCATCGGTAACCATGCTGTGTATTGTGCACACTCTAAACATTATTTCTTGTAATTCAGTGGATTTTTTTTTACATCTTTGCATTTTCAAGCACATTAGTAATTTTAGAAGCAATCTGTAACACAGCATATTGCTTTGGATTGCTAGGGGGGAAGTAATATAAGGAATTGTGGTGGAAGGGTTAGAAGCTCTGAATAACGCATTTCAAGAAATGAGACTTGAGCTCCAGGCCTGTACAATAATATGGGGGAAGTCCATAAATGTTAGGTTGGTTCTAAACTAAAATTGAGTTAGAAAGTGAATTAAACCAAATTGAGTCCACTGTGGAGTGACCACACAATCACCTCAAGAACTGGTTCAAGCCTGGGATGGTGGCCAGAGTATCCACTGATTGTGGATCAGAACCAAACCCATGAATGTTTTTATTTTTCTTACCATGTCTGTTCAATAGAAGACCATGACAGAGCACAGGAAGTGAGAACAAAGGGGTGGAAAGTGACCATTCCAACGGGAATGATCTGGTTTCCTCTCTTGAGGGAGCACTTGTTTACCTTCTGGACAGCTGTGCTTTCTTTTTTTCTTTCAAGTGCTTCAGCATTAGTGGTGTCCTGATAAGCCATGCATGGGCAAACTTCAGCCCTCCAGGTGTTTTGGACTTCAAATCCCACAATTCCTAACAGCCGGTAGGAGTTGATGTCCAAAACACCTGGAGAGCTGAAGTTTGCCCATGCCTGTGTTCTTTTTTTTCAATAATAAGTAAGATTGTATTTACATACAATAACAACTTACAGTGTAAACAAAACACAAAACAGTGAACATTTTACAAACATATAGCCCCACCATAAGTAGTCAGCCTCTCCCCTTCTGACATCCCCTCAGCACTATAAGAGGGTTTTGAAAGATCGTCGCTCTCATTGCCTTGTGGTTTCGAGGCAACGGTGTAGTAATTGTGAGGCCACGGGCCATATTTTCATTCTTGAGTACCACTGGTGGTCCATGGACCACAGATTGCAAACCAATGGTGTAGAACCACTTCTAGTCAATCAAGTAGTACCACCATTTCAGGTTTTCTCACAATGCTCTGATACTTTACAGGTTTCTCACCCAACCTTACTCCTATTTGGATACGTGCATAAGTGCACGCATACACACAATGACATAGGTTAATAAACATTTTCTTACAAACATCATAGTGGCATGGATTAAAAACTGTATACAACATAATCGAGAAACCCCAGAACCATACAAGCAGCAAAATGTGTCCATGTGGTGAACACATTTGCTTACTGTTACAAAAATGACAGATGTGTGAAAGGTGCTAATTCTGCTCACAGACAGAGCGTGAAGCATTCATAGTTGTAAAATGGTGTAACAGCCACAATCTGTTATCTGCCCACTTTTGTGTCCAAATGGTTGTAGAAGGAAATAGTATGTTAAGTTGGGGGAGGGGGGGAGGGAGAGAAATGCTTTCTAGACACAGTGAACAAATGAAAATAGCATGAAAGTTGCAGAATTCAGCCATATTTGCAACAAAAAAAAATCCAGCACGAAAGACCCCTTTTTCCACCCACAAAAGCATTTATGGCACTGCATTGATGTCTATCTGTGGAGACTTACACCACACAGGAAAGAAATCCCTCTACTCCATTCAGTGCCCCCCCCCCCATGTCTGATAATTTGAAGAAATGCCCATCATTTATGCCATATCTCCTTCCATTAGCAAACTTGGCTGTTTCTGAATACTTTTTCCTTTTTGAGATTGTTCCTTTAAAAGAGTAATGGAGGACCTTCCACATCTGATTGATGGCATCAGTTCCTCTTTCATCTGTTTTCTCTCCAAAATGAATTCCTGGCCACAGAGAAAGAAAACAGTTGTTAACAGAGTTTAATTTTAAGGTAATAGTATGTTTTGTCTTAAAGTCCCTGGTGGCACACTGGGTTAAACCACCGAGCTAATTAACTTGAGGACTGAAAGGTTGGCAGTTCGAATCTAGGGAGCGGGGTGAACTCCACCATTAGCACCAGCTTCTACCATCCTAGTAGTTTGAAAACACACAAATGTGAGTAGTTCAATAGATACCGTTCTGGTGGGAAGGTAGTGGCGCTACATGCAGTCATGCCAGCCACATGATCTTGGAGGCATCTACAGACAATGCTGGCTCTTTGGCTTAGAAATAGAGATGAGCACCACCACCCAGAGTTGGACGCAACAAGACTTAATGTCAAGGGGAAACCCTTACCTTTACTATGTTTTGCAATACAATCCATGTTTTGGTTCCAAAACAGTCTTCCTCAAACTGGTATCTCCAGGTGATAAATACTACAATTCCCTTAAGCCCTAGTGAGTTAGGCATCAAGGAATAAGAACGTTGTAGTCAAAGGTACATCTACACTGCCATATAATCCAGTTTGAAACTGCATGGGAGTTGTACTTTTACATGGTATTAGCTTTCATTGTCAAAGAGTGCAGGCTTCTCATCAAACCATGACTCCAATGATTTCAATGCATTGAGCCATGGCAGTTAAAGTAGAGTCAAATTGCATTAATTCTACAGGGTAAATGTACCCTAATGCTGGCAGATAAACAAAAAGTGTTGATGGCATTTCAATTGTGGTTGCACAAGTACAAATACCATACAGGCAATTAGTTGTACATCTGCTTGTGAAATGAGTTGTCTAACTGTGCAACTGCTTAAAAATGGAACCAAATGCTAGGAACCTGTACTTGCACAAGGATAAAAGGCTAGTGTCTGCAACTAGCAGAAGCTTTGAATAATTGAAATGACTCCACTGGATTCAATCTAGCAATAACCTCTTAATTTGAGGTGTATCCTTCAAATTGTTAGATTTCAATACCACCAATTATATCAATACTCTTCCTTACTTGGATCATGTCCAGCTTGGAGAGCAAGGTCATTTCCTTCAAGGGACCATAAGTCCTCAAGTAGCATTGTTCTGCGAGGTCTGAGATGGCCATTAATAGGCTGGTCAACTCTTTGCTCTGTAAAGAATACATTTGGCTTGATTAACAGAATCAAACATTTAAAAGGTACCCTTATCAAGAGTGAGAATAAAAGTAAGAAAGAGAAAACATACAGTAAAGGCAAGGAAGAAAAGCATACACATGTAAATACAAAGCAGTCCTTACTTGCCGAGTGAATTTGTCTTCTTCACTGTTAGCATACTGTGTCAATGTAATATTTTTGGCATACAACATGCTACTCTTTGATTGAAGTTCAGAAACTTTGCCAATCAGCATCTAGAAGAAGCCACAAAATTGGAAATAAAGCATAGGCAGAAGGAAAGCTATCCTTTGCTTGTGATTTGCTCTGATTTATATAAACACATATGTCAATAAAAATTATAGTTGAAGGTTTTCATGGCCAGAATCACTGGGGCGTTGTGTGATTTCCAGGCTGTAGGCATTGTTCTAGCCATACTTCTTGGAAAATGTTCTAGCAGCATTTTCTCCTGATGCTTCGCCTGCATCTGTGGCTGGCATCTTCAGAGGTTCTGTGTTCTGTGTTGCACTGTGCTATAGGACTTTCTGCATTACTAACCTTTGCTAGCAACTTGAAAAAGCAGTAATAATTATGTATTAGCATTTTAAAAAATAAATAAATAAATATCCCCTGAAGATGGCAGCCACAGATGCCAGCAAAATGTAAGGAGAAAATGCTGTTAGAACACAGTCTTACAGCCCGGAAACTACACAACACCCCTCACCCCCAAAAAAGCTTACAAATATGGTATTTTAAACCCATACTTCTCAATCTTTGGTTCTCAATATGTTTTGGGCTTAAATTCCCAGATCTTCTAGGAATATGCCCAGTGATTTTAGAAGTGGAGGTTACTAATTGTTTGAAGGACCACCAGAGTTTGATAATTATTAATCTAGATGATATTGTTGAGTTGATTGATACAGGAGAACAAAATGGAACAGGTAAGATTAAACTGGACCTTTTAAGAAATCTTTGAGTGGAAAAAAGTTGTATTGCTTCCCTAAATCTAAAAGCGCCGCACTGCTTTGCAGAGCATCAGCATCCATGTTGTCACAAGGGGGCTCTTTAATAGGACAGGGACCTGATCATATAGAATTTTTCCTCCGTTTCTACCTTTTTCTACACACACTACAAAGACGGGTTTCCATAGAGTCAATCAAATGACACAGGACTGCCTCTGGTGGTTGCTCGTGGGACTCTATCTCCACAGCATGTAGAAAGAAACAGGAGGATTTTAGACAGACAGAAATCCAATAATCTTCCTGAGCACATAAACACTTAAAACTGTTATTTTTCCTTGGGATGGGAAGTGGTGGATTTGTTCGATTTCTTAGTGACGTTTCAATGTGGGCATTCATATGGGCAGTCTGCTAATGCTCCTTCTGTTTCCATTAGTTATTTAAAGACAGTGTGGGTCCCATTGAAAGAAGTGTGCCTATCTCCTCTAGTTTAAGAAGAATGATCCCATGAAAAGTAGTGTTTCAAAAAGAATTCCTGTTTTTAAAAATGTGCTGGTTTCCAGAGTCAGAGCCAGAAAAAAATGGAGAGTGGGTTTGAAACTTTTTATAGTGAATCATGAAAAGGAGTTCCATAACACAAAATAATTTAAATAATATAGTTCATTCTATATTTTTATATAGACTTAATTAAATCAATTTTCTATTCTAGTTACAGTTTCAAGTCTTAAAATAACTGAAAATGACTGTTAGTTGGTAATCTATAATTACAAAAGAATACCACAATGTCTGTTGGAAACACTTGAAAACCGTGTCAATACACTTTGACAGAAATCAGGCTCCATTCATTAACTTTGGTGGACATTCAAGAGTGCAAGTCCAGTCAGTCTTTCTTGCCCCATGGTGATTCTTATGTATGTTTTCAAACATTTAAGAGTTGAAAACAACCATATGTAGGCATAGTAATGGGAACCCTAGTATCTGGGAAAGGCCCCAACAGCAAGAGGCCCTAGCCGCGACCAGGAGGAGGGAGGTAAAGAGGGCGAGGGGTAGGTTCTTCCTCCCTCCTTGTCCTCTTTACCTCCCTCTTCTTCGTCCTGGTCGCTACCGGGGCTTCTTGCTGCCACTTGGGCCCCGTGACACCTCTGCCGCATCCTCAATTGCAGGGCCCAAGCGGCAGCAAGAGGTCCAGGTGACGACAAGGAGGAAGATGAAGGTAAAGAGGTTGAGGAGGGGAGGGGGCATTCCTATTTCACAGTTTTTCACTTATTGCGGGTGATCCTGGAATGTAACCCCCGTGATAAGTGAGGGAACAGTTTAAACCAGGTTTTTTTAACCTGAAAAATGGCGGGGGGGGGGGGGGGGGGTTGAACCTCTAAACCTCCCCTCTCTTTGGCTACAGCCCTGCTTGGTATCCTTGAAATTTTTGAGCTAAGGTGATAATACTATGTGGTGGGGGAGAGTAAGTTCTCAATTTTCTTTAAAGACAGAACCCCATAAAATGCAACACAAAAAAGACTATTCCCTTTGTGGCATTAAGTCCTAGGTCTCCTTTCTCTTCCCCAGTGAAGCCAATGTTTGGCTTTGGAAAAAGATTACAATCATGTGGCAGAATGTATATTTTATAATTATTTTATAAGCGGAAACTCCTAGTTTTAATCCCTGACATTTCAATGAAAAAGGACCAGGTAGCAAGTGGTGGAAAGGACATTTTCTTGAGATCTTTAGAGGACCACTGCCAGTCAAAGCACATCCCTGACCCTGGTGGACAAATATATTCTTTGGTTTATTTAGCTGCCATGGTTGAACAAAGTACAACCAATCAAAATGTCCTTAACCAGTTTTATAATACATGTAAAAGTATTCAGATTTTCATGCTTAGCATGGGAAGCTCAAGACCTGAGTGGACAAGATAAGTCCAAAGCCCCAACATCGTTTGCTTCATCCTGTTGAGGGACTGCGGGATTTGAACAGGGCTATTCTCTGGCAGGTGTGTACTATATATAAAATTAGCAAAAGTCCAGATTTTCACATGTTGGATATGGAGGTTTTGACAGGGGTCTGTAACCCATGCTCAGTTGAAGGAAATTGCAAGACCTTCTATTATCTGGAACCAATAAGGGAAGTAGAAAGGGAATGAGGGAAGTAGAAAGGGAAGGATTGGAGCAAGATGCTTAAAACAACATGTACAGTTCACATTACATATTTGCGGGTGTTTTGTTCCTCCTGTAAGACTGCAAATTCATGTTGGAGTTTCTCGAGTTCATATTGCAGAACAGACAAATGCATCAATAAGTTTCTATTTTCAGTCACCAAAGTCATATGCCTTTCTATGAGGGCTCTAACAATAGAGTCTTCCTGATAACCCAGATAGGCTACAGAGGGAAAGAGAAGAAATGATTATTAAACAAAAATACAATGATAAGCAATAATCATCTGCACATTTATTTCCCATGAATGACCTCAAGGTGGCATATGTGGCTGTTCTCCTGCCATCCTTATGCTCACAACCACATCCCTGTTGGGCAGGCTGAAAAAGACTGCCATATAATAAAGTTTGAATCTGCATTATATGGTCAGTGTAGACCCATATAATGCGATTCTGTGCAGTTACACTGCATTATATGGCAGTATAAATCCAGCCTGAGTGGCTCAAGGTCATTCGTTCAGTTTCATAATACTGTGGAGCATTGAACCTGGATCTCCCATGTGTCAATACCGTAACCATTTTGCAACCCTGCTTCAGTTTGTTTTGTCATCAACCAAAATGTAGACATTAGATGCTGACTTTAACTTCAGAGGTCTCCATGCACATCAGAGGCTGGATCTACACAACCATATAATGTAGTTTAATTGCACTGACCTGCAATATATGAGTCTACAAGGCAAAAAGATGCTCCAAGCAGTCATGCCGGGCACACAACCAGGAGGTGTTTATGGACAACGCAGGCTCCTCGGCTTGCAATGGAAAAAAACACTTCTGTCAGAGCCAGAAGTGAGCACTGCCACCAGAGCCGGAAATGCAAGGAGAAGCCTTTGCCTTTGTCTGTGTATTTGTATCTTATTGTATTTCATTGTAACAAGGCACTGGATGTTTGCCTGTGTCTGTTTATATACTGTAACCCACTCTGAGTCCCCTTGGGGAGAAGGACAGAATATAAAGTGTTATTCTATTATATTACACTGATCATATAATGCAATTTCAAACTACATTATATGGCCATTTAAATTCAGCCAGAAAGTGATTAAAGGACTATGAATGTTCAAAATCTTTAAAGTGTTCTTTAAAGGGCACTTTAAAGATTCAAAATAGACAGATCAAGAAAAAAGCATATTTACTCTTCTTATGTGGAACTCAGAATAAGTGATTGAGTGTGCATTTAAAATGGTTTAATAAAGATACATTTCAAAAGGAACTCAATTCTTGTAAGGTTTAAATGTGAAAAAGATTCTGGAACTATTCAATAATTGCACTCACCATATTCACTGGAGGGCAGGATATTCACTACCTTCTGAAGGAAATTTGCAATTATTTTATATTTTGCAATCTTCTTCCGTAGTTTCTGATGTCTGAACAAATATACAATTATTAGAATGCCTCAAATATTAAATGGTGTTTTAGACAAAAGTGTCTCTTTCTATGGGAGCCGTAGCTTGCCATTCTTTTACATAAATCAGTCTTTCATTTGAAGGTATCTGATGTTTGATGGGCTGTCCAGTCTAACTTCATTTTAAAGACAAATTTCCTTATGAAAGGACAGCCATTGTACATTGATTCATATGGCAGGAATATCTTTCTTAGGCCAACCAAAAAGCCAATTCTGTATGTTCACTTCGGAAGCATACACAGGTCTTCATCAAACAAAGATGCTTGTTTTCTGCTATGCTGGGGACTCGGACACAAAGCAATGGCTTCAAACTACAGAAAAGGAGATTCCACCTGAACTTTAGGAAGAACTTTCTAATTGTGAGAGCTGTTCAGCAGTGGAACTCTCTGCCCCAGAGTGTGGTGGAGGCTCCTTCTTTGGAGGCTTTTAAACAGAGGCTGGATGGCCATCTGTCGGAGGTGCTTTGAATGTGATTGTCCTGCTTCTTGGCGGGGGGTTGGACTGGATGGCTCACGAGGTCTCTTCCAAATCTATGATTCTATGATTCTATGAAGCAGAGGAAGATGTAGGGGTAGGAAAATGGCAATGATAGAGACATAGAGTCTTTGGCTATACTTTATGTGTAAGGTGCAGCCAACTGATGTTAAAAAAATATTATGTAAATGACTGAACAATCAAAAGTGTATTACTACCAATGTCAGAAGTGATGTATACTTAGATGCGCATTCATCAAGAATGTGCATTTGCATACACAGTGGCACTGCATATATAGCTTAACTTCCATGGTCATGAATTGAATGCAGACATTGTGCATTGGAAAAATAGTCTAGCTGGTTCCATAGGGAAACTTATAAGACTAGCAGGATGTGAGACATCATGCTGTTCAGAAGTGACAAAGAGGAAGGGGCTACCACATTACCTGGCTTTGAGTTTTTTAATCTCCTCTTTCAGTTTCATGATTTCATGCCTCTTTATCAAATTAAGTTTTCGTTCCCTCTTGAACTTCTCAAGATAACGCTCCTTCTTCTTTTCACACTCTTGAAGATAGAAGTCAAATCCAAGAGCATGAGCCCTGCTCTGATGAAAGAAAAAGAGAAAGATTATTGAATCTTGCATTGGTTTACTCACTACTTTTAAATGGGACCCCATGAAGAGAAAGCTGCTTTAGGGAGAGGAAAAAAGAGACAAATACTACCTCACTACCTCTGAGGATGCTTGCCATAGATGCAGGCAAAACGTCAGGAGAGAATGCCTCTAGAACATGGCCATATAGACCGAAAAACCTACAACAACCCAGAGAGAAATATATTCAACTGCCCCTTAAGTCACACATGGTAAACAAAAGAACCGCAGACCATATTTGGCCTGTTACATGATTTGATGTGGCCCACAAAGCTTTGAATGCCAGGGCAACATAGTTACATTTACATAGTCTTACAATTACAAATGGTCTTGTGAAAGCCACCATAAGGTTGATGTGGGCCTTGGTGAAAATGAGTTTGACACCTCTGTCTTAAGGTATGAGAGAGGAACTATTGGAGATGTGGGGGCACAGTGCACAAACGAGGACTCTTGGGGAGCAGCCCCTCCTCTGCCATTCCCAGCCCTGAAAATAGATTTTTCCAACTTTGTTTCTGAACCATAACATTTTATAAACACATTGAATTGAGAAAAATTATTAGGTATCATTTCTCCTCCTCCTCTTTATTTCTTAACAGCTTCTCATAATGGGTTGAGGTAAAGAACAACAAGATATTAATATAAAACATACAATTGGTTAAAACACAGTCCCTATTAAAACATCAGTTTAAAAGAACATTCTGTTACATTCTTGGTTTTAATTGTATGAATCATATTGTTGTGATATGTGTTTTAATTTTGTACTTTGAATTCTCTGTTTATTCTGGACTTGGTCCTCATGTAAGCCACACTGAATCCCTTCGGGGAGATGGAGGTGGGTTATAAGAATAATGTTGTTGTTGTTGTTGTTGTTGTTGTTGTTGTTGTTATTTACACTCAATACATTTTAAAACAGCCAGTACATAATTTAAAATCCAGAATTTAACATTCATGGGGATGTGACTGCTGGAAGAGACAAGTCTTTATTGCTGTTTTACATTCTGTTGAAACTTTTCCAGCAGGTCATTCCGTAATCTAGGGGAGGCTGAAGAAAAAGTCTTTTGGCTAACACTATCAACCTATTCCTGGCTGATTGGAGCAATTGTCCCCCAGAGAACCTGAGTGTATAGGGTGGATTATGTGGAACGCGGTGATCCCATAGGTAGCCTGGACCCTAACAACTACAACAACAACAACAACTACTACTACTTTATTTTTATACCCTGCCTCCATCTCCCCAAAGGGACCAGTGGTGGCTTACAGAGGGACAAGCCCAAGGATTACAAATAAAACAGATACAGTAAAAACAATAAATAACAACAAATAATAAAAACATTAATCAAACCATGTAGGGCTTTAAAATTAATTCAAACACTGCATGATCCAACTTTAACTGACATGCTTCTATCCTAAGGAATCCTAGGATTCCCAGTGTAGAGAGTTGCATTTAGAATTCTACATTAGAAAGCTTTAATCTCCTAAGAGCTGGGTTTTAATCACCAACAGCAATAGATCTTTCCCAACTGAAAGGCTGGGATTTTGAGCCCGGGTCAGGGTGAGCACCCGACCTTCAGCCCAGCTTACTGTCACCTAAGCAGTTTGAAAACAGCTGTAACTGTGAGTAGATAAATTAGGCACTGTTTAAACAGGGGGGTATTTTATGGCAAAGATGACAATCAAAGAACAGGACAAAAGTCAGAGATCAAAAAGGCTTGTCATGGCGGTTAAAGTAGAATCATAGTGCTATAATTGGGTAGTATAAAAGGACTTAGCTACTGAGGATACAGCTTGTTATTAGTGGGTGTTGTAATTTTCTTACGGATATGCTTTCAAAACTGTGCATCTAATTCATTTTGTTTTATATTTTAACTCCATTCTTTTATTTACTCTTAGTGTGAGCTGCTCTGCATATCAATTTGGAAATAAATATGGGATATAAATCCAAGAAATATAGAGATATTTTAAAACAGTAAGTCAAAACTTTTGATTTCTGCCTCGCAGACTCAGCAAAGAGTGGACTGGATTGGCGTGGGAGAAAGAATGTAAACCTGGGACCCATCTAAATTCTTTCCCACAGTAACAAAATATGGTCTAACATTACATGCAAAATTACATTACATGCAAAACTTCAAGCACCATCATCACAGATGTAAAGTGATTGCTTACCTTTTGACCCTTTTGGTTGAGTTCCCCACTTTGCTTAGCCAGCAGTTCCAACCTCTCTTTAAACTCTTGCTTCTTGGCATTCAGTTCCACAGTCATCTGGTCACATTCCTCTTTTTTCTTCAAAAGCTGGAATCTATGCAGCGCCTTTTTGTTATGCTGCATAATCTCACTGACAGAGACCTACAATGTGAAATGCAATGGATTTCCCATCAGACCTGCTCACCAAAAATCTGTGTGGGTGTCTCAGAGGCCATACCTGAACCTGAAAAAGCATCCTTACAATTTAATTGAAAACACTGATCTTTTAGGGTTCTTGATCTCATTGTGGCAGTTTGTGGTTCTAGATCTTGTCACATGAGTGATGGTCAAGGGGAAGGAAGCAGGTTAATCTTGAATAGGGCTATTATGCATTTCCCTGTATGGATAAAAAACATGGGGGAGGGGAGAAGTGGCTTTGTCCACTTCTCTGCTGAAGAAGGCTAAAGACCTTGAAAACTACAACTCCCAAGATTCCATAGCAGCTAATGTAATGTCAAACCGCATTAATTCTACAGTGTAGATGCACCCTGGATCCTCCTTAATGAGCAGATTCACTTGTAAAAAGCGTGACTAGCAGGTCTGCTGCGCTAATAAATTTTCTTTTGATGTTGATGTCTTTAGAGGATCTGCTTCCTCAGGCAACAGACTCTATAAAGGCTACAGCAGGAAAATGACAACTGGGAAGCTAGCAGACCTGATAGTGGAGTTGTTGTTTACAAGTGGATACTTACTCTCTTTCTTCTTCAACCAATGTAAAAGTATACCAATGGCTACCAAAACTGCTTGGGGTCTAGCAACAACAACGCCAATTATTTCTAGATTTCAACCATAGTGTTATACTCAGTTCTGAACTTCTGGGGTTTGTCATAACAGTGCCAGGAAAATTAAAAATAAAGGCACCTGCAACATACCAGTTCCAGCCGTTTTCTTCCCCACTTTTTTTTTCATGTCAGGAGCTACTTCAGAAACTGCAAGTCCCTTCTGGTGTGAAAGAATTGGCCATCTGCAAGGATGTTGCCCAGTAAATGCCAGGATGTTTTGATGTTTTACCATCCTTGTACTGTCAAAGGACATTTAACATAATACCAAGTGTGCAAACTTTGTATTTTATTTGTTTGTCTGTTTGTTTTTAATGCAATACAGCTGTTTTGGTTTCGCTCCTGACACGATAAATAAATAACCATCCTTGTGGGAAGCTTCTCTCCTGTCCTCGCATGGGGAGCTGGAGCTGACAGAGGGAGCTCATCTGCACTCTCCTCAGATTCGAACCTCCAACTTGCCAGTCTTCAGTCCTGCCGGCACAAAGGTTTAACCCATTGTGTCACTGGAGGGCTCCTTTCTTCTCCACTACAAATAGGGCCTTTGTAAAGCTAATGGGTTGTAATTGTAGATTCAAAGCCAACCCATCACCCTACAGTCTGCATTACAACTGGGATTGCTTTCAGGAATTGAAAGATTGTGTGGTTTTAAATAATTACTTTTAATGTTTATATCCTTTTAAAATGTATGTTTTAATGTGTATGTTTATTTCATTATATGTCTATTTTGTGGCATCAAATTGTTGCCTATTTGAAGGCCTCTCTGAGTCCCCTTTGGGGTGAGAAGGACAGGGTATAAATACTGTAAATAAATAAATAAATAAATAAATAAATAAGAAAAACCCTTCCATCTTAGCTGCTGTGGAGATTTTAGCTAAACTCAAAAGAAATCATCAGAGTATCCCTTGCATAAGAAAACTCTATGAAATTCAGCTGGTGACTTGAAGGCACATGCATTCATAGCAGAAAATAACTTTATTCTTATATCCTGCCACTATCTCTCCAAAGGGACTCAGGGCAGCTTACATGGGGACCAAGCCCAATGAAACAAAAGTACAATATAGCACAATTAAAATACATTGCATTTCAATAATTTAAACAATAAAACTGAACAACAGACATCATAAATACGTATAAATATTTCTACTATTTTTTTTAAAAAAGCACTTTGATTATGTGAGCCTTGGCTATACCACAACGCAACACATAGCCCTAAAAACAAGCTAGTGAACATTCATTTAAGAAACTGCATGTTCTAGTGCAGGGGTCCACAAACTTTTTAAGCAGAGGTCCAGGTCACAGTCCCTCAAACTGTTGGAGGGCCGGATTATAATTTGAAAAATAAAACATGAATTCCTATGCACGCTGCACATATTTTATTTGTAGTGTAAAAAACACTTAAAAACAATAAAATAATTAAAATGAGGAACAATGTTAACAAATATAAAGTTATTAGTATTTCAATGGGAAATGTGGGCCTGCTTTTGGCTGATGAGATAGGATTTTTGTTGTTGTTATGTGTTTTTAAGCTGTTTCAGACTTAGGTTGACCTTCAGAGAGGGCCGGGTAAATGACCTTGGAGGGCCGCATCCGGCCCCCGGGCCTTAGTTTGAGGACCCCTGTTCTAGTGGTTAGGAAAAAAGTATCTACCCAGGACACCAGTTTCTGCTTCACTAGCAGTTTGAGCAGAACTTCTGCAAATGTTTTGTTTCCACATAAAAAAAGTAGTCACAGAAATCCTAATCAATATTAAATCTAGCAGTCTGGTTGGAGAACACGAATTACAGATCAAACCAAGGGCAGCTGACCTCATGAACAACAGGAATGGGAGAGACATCCTCACTCTCTTCTCCCCTGTAAAATGAAATGACAGCATTTTATTCTCAAGGATCCTTATAATTTTTAAAAAATACTATTTGCATATAATATGCAGTTTCTAATATTCTGTCACAATCTGCCATGACCAAGATAAAGCACCTGGGATGAAGAAATGGAACTAATTTGGTCAGCAACAGTACTTTCAAGCTGCGGATGATTGAATCTATGGATACAGAAGACCAATCGTACTATGCCCCTCTGAGGCATGGACTCTAGATGGTAGATTAATTTCATCTAATGACCAACCCTGGGTCTGTGGATGCATGAAATGCCATTATAACATGCCACTTTGAATTGCTTTATGTCAGGGATGGTGATATGAATTTTGGTTTGGAACACAATAATTCAGGATTTGAAATATTTTTAAAGCACCTGGAACTGAAACATGAAAAAGATGAAGTTAGCCTCCTTACCGCATGTTCCTTAAAGACCCAAGACAAAACTCTTGTGAAAATCTTTCTTGAGGCTAACAGGACTAATAGCAGCAATATCTAGCAGTGAGTAGCAATAGCAAGAAACATCACAATGGCATCTCCATGACACCTCTCTGCTTTATCCATGAACAGATCTATGTACAGGAAAAATTCGTAGAGACTGGCATTTACAGGAGCTTACATCTTCTTGATCCAAGGTGACATTTATGCGTTATTGTTATATGCAATTATGCATACACTGTTCAAAAACAAATTATGTGAGTTTTGGAGGTTTTGAAGCAGCTTGGGCCGAAGGGGAAAATCACACAATCATAGGATTAAAAGGGATCACAAGGGTCCATATAGTTTTATCATCCATATTCTCATAATCCTAGACCCCTAAAACAAATTAAAAGACAGATTTAATTAACCTCACAATAATAAGTTGTATCGTTAATATACAATTATCTCATAAAAACACATCTGCATTAAAATAATCTAAGATAATTGAAAAGTCAGTTTAATATCAGTACACTCACTCTACATTCACTGGGAATAAAGGTGTAGGATCCCTACAAAATGGAAAACTGAATTCACTAAAGCTACTTTTAAAAATCTGAGAATACCACTGTAGAATGTTTCTAGGGACCTCATCACATGGATGAGGTTTAGTGTTGCAATTCTCCGGCCTCCGTGGCAAATCAGGACAGCAGTGGACAATCTTGGTGCCTTGGCTCTCAGCTGATGCTTTCCCATCACACATGGGGAAGTGTCACCACATGGCTTAAGCTCACGTTAACCTTATAGAACACAGGGAGACTTCTGTGTTGGTGGTGCAGCATCCTACCATGCTGCCACCTCAGTTCATCCATGGAGCCTCACTAATGGTTGGTATGGGCCTCCTTGAATGAAGCGGGGCAGAAGCATCCTAGGATGCCTGCAGTAGGGCTCTGAGCATCCGCAGATTTTGATATCAGTGGCGGGATCCAGGACCAAAATCCAAGTGGATATCAAAAGCCTACTATACTGCATGTTAAAAAACAGCAAATCAGATTCCATGCCCCTCTACTTTGATCAGATGAGGATGAATGTGCTGGCTAACCCCAGATATCAGGTGCCCCAAAGACCAATAGTCAATTAATAGCCAACACACAGGAACACAACTGGGAAAAATATTTACCAAAGTCACTATGCCAAGTCCAAGGATAATCCAGAGAGAGTAGTCCAAATTTCAAACACACAAGTCAAGGATAGAGCAAACAGGTCAACGATAATCCAAAACAGAGTCCGGAAATTGCAGGCTCAGGTGTTGCTACGTTTCCATCCGCCTCTTGTGCCTCTGGCTTTGTGGGCTAAGTCTATATCCAGATTTGGGTCTGGAATTCTGTTCTGCTCATGTCTCTGAAAAGTCTCCAGAGGAAACTCGGCAAAAGTATGATAGCTGGGACCCAGTGCTGGTAGCACTACGCTGGTTGCATAGTGTGGCTCTGAATTAGAGAAGGGAACATGTGCACCAGACACAGCATCACATGTGTGAGAGACCGCACGCAGTGAAAGATGCAGCTATGACAGAGTCAACAAGGTAGTTTGGTATAAGGGGGGTGGGGGCAGCCAAGCATACTGATATAGGCTATCCAGAGATCGTATCCGAATATGTTAAAAAATGTTGTTGCATTGGAAGGAAGGATAGAAAGGAGGGGAGAAATACGAGCAGTGGTGAAAAATGAATCAAATTCAGTCATTCTTACATTACTTCACTGTTATTCTGTCCCACCTGCATTACATTACTTCACTGGTATCCTGCCGCAGCTGCATATCTCGGTGCGCTGTCTGCCACACGTGTTCCCTTCTCTAATTCAGAGCCACATTATGCAACCAGCGTACTGCTACCAGCACTGGGTCCCAGCTATCATACTTTTGCCAGAAACTCATCTCCTGACTCCTCGCTAGAGGCTTGAGGCACAGGCTAACCCAGTACACCGAAGATGTCTGTTTGGTGAGGAAAAGAGATCAGAAAGAGGTAAATAAAACCTTCATTGGGATGGCGTTCCATAGCCTAGGAGCATCTACTGAGAAAACTCTTTCTTTTGTCCTCACCAGATGGCCTGGGCACGCAGGCTCATATGGAAGATGCAGATTTTCAGATAGTCTGGATTTATGCTAACTGAATATGCTGGGGCTACATCTACACTGTTTGAACTGCATTATATGGTCAGTGTAGACCCTTATAATACAGTTTTAACCACATTATTTGGCAGTGTAAATCCACACTGGGTCTATTTTGTTGTCTGCCCAGCCATCTAAAATATGTCTTTTTTCTCCCTGGCTCTGGGTTGCCATATTTCTTGGTCTTCTGGCCTTTTTTGGCCCATTGCTCTCATACCAACTGACCCAAAAGCCACTCAGCCCATCTTCCTGAGAATTCTTGCCTGACCCACCTTCGTGACATCACGAGGACCCATTCTTTGTCACCACAAGGTTTTGGTCTTTACATCTAGAGAATCAGATGCTGTTCACCTGCCATTTCAAATTGCTTGGAATAAGAGCAGCCACTGCATGCCTTATCATCCCTTCTAGACGGAAGGCATTATGGATGTATTTCTGATTGTGACTAATGACTCCCTCAGGGAGCACTACCCCCCCCCCCAATGCTATTTCATCAGCTGACATGGCAAAACAGGAGACACGAAGAGTGACTGTGTCACCGTGCATGCTGCTCAGGCATGGCATCATACAYGGGAAGTGTCTCCGAAATAGGGCAGGATCATGCTGACTCCATTAGAGCCAACACAACACAGGAAGCCTCCTATGTTGGATGGAAAGCATCCGGTGATGCTTTCACTGCACTTGGAGATAGATCTCCACCGGAAGTCAGACAACATTGTGTGATGTCCAGCATGGGGCCCTGTTCTCTAGATTGGTGAAAGTGTCCTAGGACGATAAATTCACCCTGTCTGATAAGGCTGTTAGGTCTATGAGGCTCTGACCTTTGGAAATACTAGTGGGAAATCATCACCATTGTCCTGCGGTACAGGATCTTTGTCTTTAGTAGCTGCAGCACAACCAGATATTCAATAGCTGCAGTCTTTCTGGGAACAATGAAAGCAATGACAGCACTTTTCAGGAAGGAGAGATATGCCTCTCACGCAGCTGTCATTGGCTGCATGATATACTGCCAAGAAAACCCAGTGTCAAATCTCCTTGCAAGAGCCACTGTTTCATGGTTGATGTGGGATTTTTTTTGTCTTGCATGCCTTTTTTCAAATTACAATCTTTCATTTTTTTATTTTTTATTTTTAAAAAAACTCGGGTATAATAACACAAAATGTTCTGGGAATTCTTTAATGGAAGTCACACAAAAAATACACAATGAAGTCCAGTACTACCCCTGTATTCATGGGAGATACATTCCCGTTCTTTGCAGGGAAATGTGAAACAATGTATATTAGCAAACTCTATTGAAATGAAGAGCTTCTGACCCAAGAATCCATAGAGTTGTGCTGGAAAACCTAGAAAATGCCTAAAGGGAACATCTTTTGTCAGACACGGACAAATGAAGATGTAGATACTAGTCCCACGGATGCAGGGATTGTACTGTAGTGTTTTCCTATATACAGTACTGGCTGAATAGCTCTCTTTCCTTTATATGGAGTCAGCTAGGTCTAAACTTGCCACTCTTAATTTGAATCAGTTTATTTATATTTAACCGTCCTTATTCTGTCCCAACCTTAGTCTTTCAACTGTTGAGTTGAAAGTTCTCACATCAGCCTTTACTACTGAAGTTGCTCTGACACCTGGTTCTCTGGTTCAGCCTTTGAAGCAACAGAGAGGATATATCTTGTATTTAAATCTACAAGCTTTGACCTCCAGAGGAAGGGAAAAAAATGATCTTAATGAAATCTGCCAAGATCTCTCCTTCCCTGCCAATTTCAGATTCATTTCTTTGTCTTCTTGTATACCACACATATTGAAAGAAGGGAGAAGGACTGGCATTATGGACAAGACATGTTGTCTTGTCCATAACTTGCTGATAAAAATGGGAATGTTTGTAAACCACCCACATTTTATTAAGTGTTGCCAGAGTGACAAGTGGAGATATCTCCTGTACTTTTAACAGCTGTGTAGATTAGGTGGTAACAGTGACCCATGCAGTCATGCTGGCCACATGACCTTCAAGGTGTCTACAGACAATGCCGGCTCTTCGTCTTAGAAATTGAGATTAGCACCACCACCCCAGAGTTGGATGCGACTGGACTTAATATTAAGGGGAAACCTTTACCTTTTTAGATTAGGGATTAGGGATAACACTACTTTAACTGCCATGGCTTAATGCTATGGAATCCTGGGAGCTGTACTTTGATGAGGTGCCAACACTCCATCAACGACTAAATCATTTGTAAAATTACAACTCCTGGGATTCCATAACATTTAGCCATAGCAGTTAACACAGTTTAAACTGCATTAATTCTACAATTTAGAGGCACACCAGGGTAAGTCTTGCAATGGTTGATTACTGGAACACATTCCTATGGAACTGGTTACATGGGAAAAGTTGGATTAGTCAGGTAATGTGAGAAGCCAGACCAGGAGGTGGGAAAATCTATTTTGGCCATAACAACTGGAACAGGCTAGATTCTTCCAAGTCCCTGCCCATGTTCCCAAAATGAGGAGAAAATTACACTAGCTCAAGAACCTGTGCAAATAATACCTCCTACATTGCTTTTGATGGGAGGGAAATATATCAGGAAGAAAGGAAGGAAAGGAAAACATGATGATCCTTTATTTCTTCTCTGGGGGGATCTATACTGTAGAAATAATACAGCTTGACTCCACTTTACCATGGCTCCATGCTGTCGAGGCAAGGGAGAGGTAGTTTTACAATGTCTTCAGCCTTCCCAAACGACAACTCCCATGATTCTATAGCTATGACACACAGCAGTTAAAGTATTGTCACACTGCATTAATTCTACAGTGTAGATTTATTTATTTATTTACTTCACTTGTATACTGCTCCCCCCCCCCCAAGTGGGGGACTCAAAGCTGTTTCAAACACAATTATGGCAAAATTTAATGTTTCACATACAGAAATCTAACATAATGATAATAACATACAATTATCAATTATCAATTAAATCACAAAACACAACATCATTTAACATTAAAACATGGGATTAAAAACATATCAATATGAATATTAAAATCACACAATCCAATAATCCTAGTCCAGGCCATTCCAAATATCATATCTATTGCACATAATCCCTAACCATTCCTTGTACTGCTTCCTGCTCAAAGGCTTGGTCCCATAGCCAAGTTTTTACTTTTCTTTTGAAGGCCAGGAGGGAGGGCGCTGATCTAATTTTGTTGGGGAGGGAGTTCCACAGCCGAGGAGCCACCACTGAGAAGGCTCTGTCTCTCATCCCCACTAATGGCACTTGCGAGGGAGGTGGAACCAAGAGTAGGGCCTCCCCAAATGATCTTAATCTCTGAGATGGTTCATAGAGGGAGGTACGCTGGGCAGGAACCATTTAGGACTTTATAGGCTAAAGCCAATGTTTTGAATTGTTTTGAATTGTGCTCAGAAGCAGACTTGCAGCTAGTGGAGCTGGCATAATGGGGGGGGGGGTTGTATATTCCCTGTACCCCACTCCAGTGAGTAATCTGGCTGCTGCCCTTTGGACCAATTGAAGCTTCAAACAGTCTTCACAGGCAACCCTACATAGAGCATGTTGCAGTAACCAGGGGTCGACTACCATGGCCAAGTCTGACTTCCCAGCTGGCGCACAAGATGCCCTCTTTACCAAAATATACCCAATATTGTTCGAAATACTTTGAAAACACTGAATATTCTGTTTTATCATCAGCTATCAAGAGTAGGATTGCCTCTAAGGAGGTCAACAAGCATCTTAATAATCACCTTACCTGTCTTGTCCCAGCTGGGTCACGAAAACATTTCTCCTCCTATTTTCCACCCGCAGAAAATACTGAGGACCATTGCCTCCTCTCATTGCCAGAGTATCTTTAACAGTATTGGAGCAGGGAACACCTCTTCTGATTACAAGAATTTCCGTGCACTATGATTCCTAGCAATTTCTCTTTTGAGTGTGCATGTGATGTCTTTCAAATGCTCTTCAGCACAAGCAGATAAACAGTGTGGCTAGCAAAGCCAGATCTAGTTTCAAAGTTGGAAGTACAGGTTTCTGCCTGGAAGAAAGTGAACCCCCTGGATTGCTAGTTATCTTTCTGTATCTCCTTGTTCCCTTAGTAACCACAGCACAAAGTCTGCATCAAGGCTTCCAGTTTGCAGGGAGAATTGCCCTCACATTTTCCTGGAGAGTTAATGATGCATACATGAACTAACCTGTTAAGTCATCCGTTTGGAGATGTTGTGTTTTTGTAGTCTGAGAGGAGGAATAGAACAGCTATTATTTTTTCTATATAAAAAGCGTACTTGGAAAAGTTTCATAATGGACTTATGCAGAAACAGGATAGAGCTTATCATACAATGACTACAGCAAAGGTATCACATGCAGAAGTTCCCAGTTCTATTCTTAGGCATATTCAGCTAAAAAGAAGCAGTTCTTCCAACATTGCAAGGATGAAAACTGGGACATGTGTGAGCAATCAACCAATATGAATGGTCAAAATGGGAAGATATTCCTGATCAGGAAGAACAAATGAACTAGAAAAGCTCACAAAAGTTTGCTTTTGCCTGAGCCTTTAGCCTGAAGAAGAGAAGGCTGAGGGGAGACATGATAGCCATGTATAAGTATGCAAGAGGAAGTTATAGGGAGGAGGGAGCAAGCTTGTTTTCTGCTGCCCTGGGGACTAGGACGCAAAACAATGGCTTCAAACTACAAGTAAGGAGATTCCACCTGAACATTAGGAAGGACTTCCTAATTGCGAGAGTTGTTCAGCAGTGGAACTCTGTGCCCAGAGTGTGGTGGAGGCTCCTTCTTTGGAGGCTTTTAGATGGAGGCTGGATGGTCATCTGTTGGGGGTGCTTTGAATGCGATTTTCCTTCTTCTTGACAGGGGGTTGGACTGGATGGCCCATGAAGTCTCTTCCAACTCTATGATTCTAGTGTGAAAGACAATATTTCACCCTACCTCACATTTCCACTCTGCTGAATCATTTGAGTGCAAACTACAAAAACTGAAGGAAACAGAGGTAAAAGGAGGGAAGTGTGAAAAGGAGAGACAGACTGGGGGCCCATCTAAACTGCCATATAATCCAGTTTCTGAATCCAGATTATCTGCTTTGAATTGGATTATATGGCAGTGTAGAGTCATATAATCCAGTTCAAAGCAAATAACCTAGATTTGGAAATTGGGTTATATGGCAGTGTAGATCCAGCCTGGGGCAATTTAAAAGCAGGGACCTCTTCATGCTAACCTCCATTTTTACCGGTTTCACTGGTAATTGCCAATGAAACAGCAGGCACGCAGGGTGCCTCGAAGCATCCCACACACTCTCCCTCCTTCCCCCATCAGATGGGGGAAAGGCACCAAAAATGCACATAGCTCCGTTGGAGTTATCCACTTCTCCATTGTGGGCCAGGAAGCATCTTGACACACTTCTTCGCCACTTCGGGGATGAATGGGGGTGGGGCCAAGTCAGTGTTGTCTGATGGCCATTGGCAGGTCCTGTCCTGAAGAGGAACCAGGGACCAAAAAAATACCCAGTTTTATGAGGTTGGGGGGGGGGGGTGAAAATGTGAAACAAGAGAGGATGGTATGGGTTCATGGTTTATGTATCCTTATCTCTCTTTGTTTTTAACAGCTTTTTATTTATTTTTAATTTAACAGTTTTAATAATTGTACTAGTTTAACTCTCTTGCAATATTTCTTTTTTTATGTATGTTTTTCTTTGTATTCCTTTTAAATCAGGGAGCTGCTTTGGGTCCTAATCTTAGGGTATACATTCATCATCATCATATGTCAGAAATATTAAAAATTAACTATTCATTATAAAAATGTGAGTCAAACACTGAAAGGGTTAAATGGATGCAATGACTCAGCAAAAGCTGTAGTTCTATATAAGCAGAAGTGCCAGTAGCTTAGTATCCATCAGTCTGAGGTAAACCTCAGTGGGAGAAAGGTCTCAGTTTGTGAGAAGGCCTCATAGTGTGAGGTAGGCCTTGGCATGAGAAGGCCTCATGTGTGAAGCTCCAGTGTGAAAGTTAACTTTGTTTTATGGAAACCTTGTTTTTTTAAATAGTGCAACCATATTATTTTGCTTTAAAGAAAAGCCTCCTATGGAAGAGATAACATTGGTCTGTGTGTTTTTGATCTTTTTATCTCTTTGGGTTACTGCTGCTGGATCACGCTGCTGCTAATAAATTACTCTGCTATACCTTTATGAGGAAGGGTCTTTTGTTAATAATCCAACTCACCCGACAGCACCATCATCTTGAAAACTTCCATGGTGAGAGCTGGAAGGGCCTGCTTCTTCTTACCTTTCTTACCCTTCAGAAGAGGAGAGTTGCTAGAAGAAGGAATTCAGATGAGAAAGAAGTAGCTGGTCTTTATTCTGAGGCCCGTTCCACACAGCTGAATAAAATCCCACATGTTCTGCTTTGAACCGGAATATCTGGCAGTGTGGACTCAGATAACCCAGTTCAAAGCAGATATTGTGGGATTTTCTGCCTTGATAATCTGGGATATAGAACTGTTTGGAAGGGCCCTGAGAGAAGGAAAGGGACAGTTCCTTCTCCTTCTCTTTCTTATTGAAGCAGTTGTCATAAAACTTTGAAGAAGCACTTAATACACTAAAAACTCCTTGTAAGCCTCTTTACCCACTTACAAAAGTATTTTTTTCATGTATAAAAAGAGCATGCCATTATTTGTAGAGTGATACCTTGAGAAGATAAATGCTATCCAGATCATGTGGTATGTAGGCTAGGATACTAAGTCAGTTCTTAGCAATGCAGTGTGGAAATTTCCATTAAGAACACATGAGCCAATGTGCTGATCTGAATCTCAAGTGGAAAATGAGTCTTGGTGGACATATAATACTATAGCATATTTCTTTAAGATTACTTGAGATATAGGTGACATTCCAGTTTGTAGCTGAGCTATTTTTTGGGGGTTTTTTTGGAGGGAGGGGATGTTCCCCTTTACAAGGATAACCATTTTGTTCCTTGGGTCAAAAATTACAATTCTGGCCTGAGGTTTGAATGGAATCATATCATTATGGTCTGCTAAATCAAACTCAGAATGTGCTGCTTAATAATAAAGATTTATTAGTGAGATTACACTGTCTGTGTTTGTGTTGAGCAGTGTCTTCTTTTATGCATGACCTCTTTGGAATAAATGGAATCATTTAAAGGGAGCCAAGCGATGAAATCTCAAAGAGCAGAATGAAAACTATTCATGGTCTTATACCATTGTAATTTGAGCCAGTGATGAAACTCCCACACCATTTGATGGTTTCAAATATGTACCTTGTGACAAAGACATTGAAAAATACCCTTGAGCATCAGCCTTGAGCTGGGTAAGAGACTGGACATTACTGGAAAATAGGAAACTATTAGCCTTAGAAGGTTTTGACTTAATGCAGGGATGGTACAACTATCTATGGAGAGGGAAAGCTAAGACAGAGAAGAATTTCAAAAACCATTTTATAAGGGCCGCTCTTATTCACATCTGGAATAAAGAAAGATTTTATTCCAAGACTTCACTATGGTTCTCCCCAAATGAAGCCAACCATGTTGCTGTTGTTTTTGCTATTATATTTGGGCTCGGCCTCTTGTAAGCTGCACCGAGTCCTTCGGGAGATGGTAGCGGGGTACAAATAAAGGTTGATTATTATTATTATTATTATTATTATTATTATTATTATTATTATATAAGAGAGATCCACAGAGGAAAATGTTAACTTATAATCAATTATTAAAAAGAAATAGGCAAGGTTTAACACTAAAAACCCAGGAGTAACTAAAATTAATTGATCCGATGATCTCCTGGTTCCATTACTACCAAATTAAAGAAAACTTTGAAATAGATAAAAAAAAAACCAGGTTTTGAGGCAGAGGAATCCTTTTGGGATAAAATACTAAAAGTAGATACGAAATTAATTAGAAGAATATACCAATAGTTGCTTCGGTGGTCAACAGAGGAGGAGCAGGTGAAAGAGACTATGATTAAGTGTGCCAAAGATATAGGTCGCTCTATAAATATATCAGAATGGGAAGACATCTGGACAAAGAAATTAAAATTTACATATTCAATGGACTTCAAAGAAAACTGATACAAGATGTTTTATAGGTGGTATCTAACACCAGTACAGCTCTCTAAGTTCAATAAAGGAAGAACCGATGAGAAATCCTGGAAGTGTGGGAAACATACAGGCAATCCATATGTGGTGGAAATGCAAGAAAGTTAAGACTTTTTGGTACCAGATCTACAAAAAGATAGAAGTAATCTTACAAATAAAATTTGATTTTAAACCAGAATACTTGCTATTAGGTATCACAAATTTCAAAATGGATAAAAATACAAATAAGATCTTTTTTTAACTTAATAGCTGCAAGAATAAAGTTAGCCCAGTTGTGGAAATCCCAAGAAACACCCACTTTAGAACAATGGACTCTGAAAACCCTAGATACCATGAATATGGGCATACTTACTAAAAAAAAGTCACAAAGCAATGCTAAAACAAATACAGTGAATTGGAGGAAATTCTTAGAGTTTTTAGAAAAGGAAAATACAGGAATTCACATGCCATAAAAGAAACCTCAAAATGAACTTTAAGGAAACTAAGACAGAAAGAAAAGAAAAGAAAAAGATACAAGGACTTTTGAAAAGAAAAGAGTTCACGACTTGGAGCGACCTGGAAGTGCAGATTTTTTATTTTTTTATTTTTTCTCTTTGCTCTACTTTTCTCTGATGTTTTTTTCTTTTTTTCTTCTCACCTCTTCAACACATTGCTTCCACACTTTTTTGTAAGTTAGATGCTTTTTTTCTTAACTTTCACAAATATTCTTTTCTATTATGCTCCACTCTACTTTGAGCAACTTTATTCTTAATAAACATAATTAAAAGAGAGAGAAAAATACCCTTTACACAAA